TCCACAAATTCCTAATTGATAAAACTTTATACGAATCTATATATTCAAATAACTCTGATATAAAGTACAGATATGTAATTTTGCCGAATAATCCTCCAAGTTGAAATCACCAAGCACAAACATTGCAGGATCAGCCCATATGTTTTACAAAAACAGGCCGTACACATTTAGGTTTATCCATTACAGATCCATTAAAATAAGTCCAGATCCCGTTAAACTGAATTGGGCCTTAGTCATGGCAACTCCGTGATAACTCAAAGCAGGCTTGGTCCAGTCCAACTACCATATACGAGATATGATCTAATCCAACTACAACATAGGAGTCGTCATTTTTGTATAAAATGGCATATTATGTTTTATGAAATTTTTTTATTTATTTTTTGACAATGATTATATATATTTATGTTTTTTTTTTATTTCTAAATACTCTCTTTTTTATATAAATACATGCTTTTTTTTAATGATAATTCAAAGCAATTTTCTTTTCATTTTTCTTTTCTTCTTTTCCTCTTAGATCATCTCTGGTCCTTATCTCTACTCTAGTATAGAATTTACACTGTTCTAAAGTAAAGTTAACAAATAATTAAGTTTCATCTTCAATTGTTCGTGCTACATTTTACTCTAATCGAATTGTTTGGGATTCAGAAGTGAAAGAAATCATTTTATCTACAAATAGTGGTCAAATTGGTGTATTACCAAACCATGCCCTACGAAAAGTAAGAAATTCCGCATATTTTGACCAATTCAAGGTGAAAAATGGGGTTGCTCCCTCGGCAAAACTTGGATAAAGTTGAGCCAAAAGTTCGCGATTCAAGATAAATTCATGAGGGCTCTGAACACAAGGCTCGTTCCTCGGGGTTAACTGCTCGGTCCAAAACACGAGTGGCATAATCTGTTTTTCCTTTCCTTCTTAAGTCCAGGAACGGATTTCAATTTACCATTAGTAAGGGCTAGTGCACATGAATATTTACATTTCATTTTCATTATTTTAGATTAATTTTAATACTAGAAATAGAATTTAATGAAATACTATCTTGTACATGTTTAGATATATATTTAAATTAATCAATATACCATCGACAAAAATACAATTACATACAATATTATTTATATTAATATTATTTTTTATTAGAAGAATACAAAAAGTTGAAATTCTTAACGGGTAATCTAAGTTATAAGATTGTTACTATATGTTTAACAAAATACAATAAGATACAAATAAATAAATATATATATATAGGGATTGGTTCCAATGCATCCGCTTATTTAAAGTGAGGACGTGAGACTTATTTTTAGCAACAAGATTTGGTACATCATGTGTGGCCAAGATTTACTCTTTTCTTTTTATTATTTTAATTATTTAAATATTATTTTGACCTGTTGACTCCGGCGTTGACCGTTGATTTCCGGCATTGACCGTTGACTTCCGACGTTGACCGTTGACTCCGACGTTGACGGTTGACAACTAACCTTCCAACTAGGTTAGTTCTCTGTAGTTGCTAGGTTAGTTCTCTGCAGTTGCTAGTTTAATAGTTACTAGGTTAGTTGTCTGTAGTTGCTAGGTTAGTTGTCTGTAGTTGCTAGGTTAGTTCTCTGTAGTTGCTAAGTTAGTTCTCTGTAGTTGCTAAGAGCTGTCCGCATTTTAAGAGCTGGCCGCATTTGATCCACCCACTATATATATATAAATATCATGATTATTTTATTTAGAAAATTGTATTCAACAAATATTTTTATAATGTTTGCAAAGACCATACCACAATATATAAATACAAACAAAATATATATATATATGTTTTTATATGTTTCAATACACTTTCATAATTAAAAGAAAGAAAAGAAAAAAAAACAAAGATTGTGACGTTGAAGCGCTATATCTGGCGTTGCACTGTATATTTATTTGAAGTAGCGTGAAAATATGGTGATGCGTTGGAGCCCGATATTAACACAACTCCCCGCGTAAACGCAACGTTGGAGTTGCTCTTATTTCTTACTTTACTAGATATAGGAGAAATGAACAGTTATTAAGCCCTTGTTTGCTTTTCAGGATGGGATTGGACTAATTTGGACTAAGGGGTAGGATAACTTTAAATTAAAAAATAAAAAAAAATGTGTAGGTAGTGTAAAATACTGTTTTACCCATTTCAAATAAATCAAAAACAGTCCGAAAATGATTAAAATAGGGGTATAATAAAAATTTACTATAACAGGATAGGAATAATTCCACCTATTTCCTGGATTAGTTTATTTCATGTATGACGGATTAAACCATTTTTATACCGGGCCGATGGGATTCCTGCGGACTTTAGTCCCATGAACCAAACGCAGGATTAGGTCTAGATTAAGCGGGATATCCTGCTTAATCTCCTATGAACCAAACGCAGGATTAGGTCTGGATTAAGCGGGATATCCTGCTTAATCTCACCAAACAAACATGAACTTTTTGTATAGTGGACAGTTACGTAATTTTGCCTCATTTTTGTTTCTCAATTAATAATCAAACTAACAAAAAGTAAAAGTAGAGATGTTAATGATGAGTTTGAATTCTAACTAGATATAGGAGTGTAAATACGCGTCGATTTGTCCAATGATTAAAGTGATTACAATTTCTAGGATAATTTTAGACTTAGCTTTAATTTGATTTTGGACAGAATAGACTCTGAATGAAATTTGTATTGACTAATCGTGAAGCATATTTGAGTAGTTTGATATTCTCTAGCACAATTATACACTCAATTTGCAATTTTGAATCAGTCTTTATTTCATATATAAATTGGACATAGGTTAAAGCTTGATTCCTTGTATTAACATATCAAATGCATTACAAAAAATTACCATATTCAACAAAAAAAATTCAATGGTAAAATATGTAAGTGAATATTTCAATAGTATAACTTCCGTTGAAAATTCCAACAGATATAAACATAACTATATTATGCTATAATTATTCTTTCAAATTTAGTTGAAATTTGATGATTCCGACCGTTATTTTCTCAACGGTACATTATTATATGCTTCACGGAAATATGCAATTTCCATTAAATAAAATTTTGATTCACATTTCAAACGATGGAAGCATCAAAATCCAACGAAAATTTCAATGGAAAAAATTTCCGACTTAATATTTTTCGATGGTATCCATTGAATAATTTTAAATGAAATAAATATCAGTTGAAAATTTATAAAATTTTATTTAAATAAATAAATATATATATATATACATCGAAATTTTATTATTTTCTTATAGCGGTGAATATTAACTTTTCCAATTACATTTAAAGTAGAATAAGATATTCTTATGCTCTTATGCATTGTATATATCACTCGGTTGGATATATTATTTTTTGTTTTATCAGATACTATTTTTTCATTGGAATCATTATTGGATACAAATTTTTTTTTAACAAATTCACATATAATTAAATTCTATTTTATATCTCAATTTTGACAGTACAATTAAATAGTAGTAATTAATTATTTTTATACATTTTCAATAAAAATTACTTTTATCTATTAATTTCTTAATTAGCAATCAATTATTTTCACTTAAAATTTATAACTATCAATAATTTATACTGAATATTACCCTTAAAATTTGATGAATTATTTAATGTTTATTTGATGCCAAATTACATATTTTTCATAGACGTTGGTTTTTTGTTAGGTGAATCTTACCATTATGTTAACATTTTATTTTCATAAATATGTATATATTAATTAAAAATTGTCATATTTTTAAAAACTACGACAATAATATAAAAATGCAATATATAGAGTGACATGTCACCCACCTAATAATTAGACTGTCCAACATAAAAAAATAAAAGTTATTATCAACACATGTCCTATATATATGAAGTTTTATTTATAATCGTGTCTAAATGACAAAAGGAAAAAGATTATGTTTAATTTGTTTTTTTTAAGAAAAAGCAAAATGAATGTATATATGAAAACAAACGTTTTTAAGTCAAAAGGTATAAAATTGTCATAACATAGAATGTTGATGCTAAAGCGCGTCTGTTTACTCCAGATGTGGGCCCCTCACCTCCACTCAATTAACCCACCGGTTTATTGCCGCTAGTTAACCGCTCACCGGTTCACTTCCCCACTCCATTGTCACAACTCACAATTAGGAAAATAAAATTAAAAAAACATTTCCCAATTTACTTACCTAAAAATGTGATTGAAAATCCAATGTTGCCCTGTCCTACTGATATATATAAATTAATATTTTTTCCAAGTGGTTTGGTCTAACCCTTTAAATAATATTTTTATCAAAATATTAAATTATACCGATTTCATAACTGAAATAACGATCCAAATATCGATTTAATTTTATTAAATTTTTATATTTTTGTATCAAGATTTTTTTGAAATTGAATATTTTGATACCTAATTTTAATATGTTTATATTATATGTACTTTTATTAGATTTTTATCAATTTTAGAGTATGTTTATATATTATTAATATTAAAATAATAAATTTAATTTATACTTATTAAAGCTAGTAAAATAAGTTTTTAAACCAATTGAATTGATTGAACTACATTAGTCATCTGGTATAATTATTGTTAGGGTACTGAAAATATTATGAATATTTATAAAATTAAAAATTCAAAGTTAAAAAGAAAAAAAAAAGAATTACAAAAATGATGATAAAATAGGGTTACCATTTTTTTGTGAGGCTTGTTCCCTTGGGCAGTTGGGCGTGGGGTGGTACGGGCGAGGAGTGGAAGAGAACAAACTTATTTAGTTTTAGAGAGAGAAAATCAAGAGTGTGTGTGTGAGAGAGAGAAAGATAATGTATTTTCCCTCTATTCCCCTTCTTTCAGACAAAGGTGGTCGAGGAGAGCTTCAATCTCTGAGATCATCCTGAAAAGGGCTTCAAGAAAATCAAGCACAATTTCTTCTGCGTTCAAAACAACATTGTGATTATCAAGATATTGCATAAAAAATCTTTTGTTTTTTTGGTCTATTCCCATTTTGAGTGCCCAATTGCAGATTAATTACCCCCTTCAACCTTTGGGAACCTCTACATTTTGTTTGCTTCAAGACGATTTTTTTACACGGAGATTGAAGAATTCATTGTGAATCTTCATTGGTTGCTCTCCTGTCTCTCTTCATTTTTGGTGGGTCTTTTTTATTTTCCCAATTTTTCTTCTTTTGGGTTTCCATTTGCATGTATTGACATTCATGTCCTTTTAGTTTTTTCCGTATGCTGCATTGCTTGTTCTCAAGGTTATTCTATTGTTGCCCTTTTATTTCCCTTTTCTGTTTGATTCTACAGAGAATTGCCAAATAAAGTTCCATTCTTTTTTCAAAACTCTGTTATCTGTTTTTCTCTTTATTCATTTATTATGATTATTACATTTCTTGTCATGTATTTCAGCTAAAGGTCGAATCTTGGAGGATAATATAGTCCATTCAGCCTGGTTATGCAGTTGTTTTTGAAAACAACGTTGTAACCTTAATAACAGCTGGTTGAAGATGAGGGACCCCAATTTTGTTAAGAGATTCATGTGGGCCAGTATTGTTCCTTTTACTTGCACCTTAGTTTTTGCCTAGTGGTAGCTAGAATATCGTGTGTGTACCGTTCTTCTTGATCTGGGGTGAGCTGAAGAACTTGTTGGGTTATGGTTCTATAAGTGTTTTTTGTCGTTTTACCACTTTTTTCCGAACAAAGCTGGCGATTTTATTCATTAAATTGTATTTAGTATTGGTTGTTGGCCCAAACTGCCCTCACCACTGCAACGAATGGGGAATAGATGGACAGTTATCGGGACTTTTATGCTTCTGATTATTGTTCTTGAAATTCATGGATGCTGGTCGATCAATTCTGAAGGTAATTCAAGCATATTTTGGTGGAAAATGATAAACGGGAAATTTTTTTGGTATGCTGTCTAGTATTTGACTTGATGAATATGGGGAATGTAGGATTGGCTTTGTTACAATTCCGAGCAAATGTGGCCTCTGACTCGTATGGAGCTTTGACGGATTGGCTGCCTGATGATTGTGATCCGTGCTTTTGGTCGGGCATTGAATGCGTGGATAGTAAAGTGGTTATGCTGTAAGTTTTGTTATGAAACTATTTTTTCATTGGTT